TCTCCATGTTGTCAAGGTATTTCCAAGTGTTGGCTTTCTTGTCTGGTTTATGTTTGTAATCAGCTAACAGGAGCAGCACAGCAAAGAAGGACTCATCCAGGCTGGAGAAACTGATCAGGAGGGCTAGCTCTGTGGTCGGCATGAAGTAAATAGTCAACAGTGCAATTGACCTCAATACTTGAAATGTGCAATTCACTTGTATTTTTATTTTTTATTCCTATTTATTCTATTTATCCCCTTCGTATATTTTATTTATATTGTCTCTGTATTTATATATATGTGTGTGTGTGTGTGTGTGTGTCTATATATATATATATATATAATATTCTGTAACTCTGTAACTTCTGTCGGTGCTGTGCTTTTTTGGAAATCGAATTTCCCAGAGGAACCCACCCGAGGGATTAATAAAGTTCTATCTAATCTAATCTAATCTAATCTAATCTAATCTAATCTAATCTAATTAACAAAATGTCTCACTTTTTGTTAAGTTAACCTCTGCTTGTCAGCATTTGGGTCTTCATTCTCTACAACACGCACCCTGCAGCCACAGGCCATGACAGACTGAAGTTGTGCATCTCATTTTCTTTCTTCAGACATCTTCATATTCCCCACTTTTAGACTCCAATTCTTTCCCTGACAGCGATCTTGCTGAAAGGTTACAGTATTACACATTTACTGATATAGTACATAACAACTGTTTCACTAATACACTGTGCTAATGCACCAGTACACAGCACAAGAACATAAAAAACACAAGCACAGGTCTGGGTAATTTTCCCAGTTGTGTTTTTGCATTTTTAATCAAGTAAACAAATGATTGGCTGACCTGATGTGCTGTTTGTTCAGTCATCAGCAGTAAAGGTATTATTAGAAATGCCTGCAAGCTGAGGAGTACAGAGGAGTCAGAATCCAGTCAGTATGTTGAAAGACTGCCCTCTCCTGGCAAAAAGCCTACAACACACTTTTACTTTAAACTTGGATGATTAGGATAAACTTTTTGCTCAGTAAGGGTTTTTACACTTCATGGCAATTCATTAAAACTGAAACAAGCTATTAGTCAGTTAATTCTAACTGATGCAATCAATATATTCACGTGAAACTTTAGACTTCTTGGGTGTTTGAACACTCAGAATTTTATATATACAAAAACGGTGTCTCTATAAGAAGTCTCACACCTACAATAACAGGTAATATGAATATAGAAAAGGGGCACTGGTTGTAGTGGAAATGTCATCACATAGCCTGAAATCAAACATAGTCCTATTTAATTTTTCTACATTCACTCACAGTGACTGTGAGTCTGTGACTTGATTTATTTTGTTTATCTATATCACATCAATCAAAGTAAGCAAGTTCAGATTTACAGCATACACACCTTGGTAAACACGTGAATGAATATTTTGAAAACCATTATGAGTGACTGGGAAAGGATTCATAGTTTTAGCACTTTAGGAAACAGGTTTTTTATTGTTCCTCCTGAGTAACTGACTACTAGTCCACCACAGGTCTTACTGACTTTTATTACTGGTGGTACAAGTGCCCTCCATTCATAAGTTAAGCAGCAGGGATAGAAAGGACATTCAGGAAATTTATAAAAAGAACATAAAACATAATATATTCAACAGGAACTAAAACAAATAGATTAGACACTGCCGCACAAAAAGAAACAATATTAGCTACCACAAACCCCACATAAGAAGGCCCCAGCAGGCCAGATGATTCAAACCTGGGACCTTGTTGCTGTGAGCTAATGGGTAGGGTGGCCACTGCCCCGGGGCAGTGATTACAAATGTACCTACATTTGTAATCAGTCACTACAGAATGGTTTATTCTCTAAAAAGATGACCAGGGGATAGAAAAGGGAAAGACAGACAATAGAAGCTGAAGAAAAGGAGAGGGAAAGAAAAACAGAGGGGAAGAGGGACAGTGAGAAAAGACACAAAAAATCTGCTAGATCACCTGCTGGGAAAAAAGAAAACAAGCAAGAACAGAACAACACAGTAGGGAAACCACAGCAATAACTAAGATAAGCATAAATAACTGTAAATAATAAATATTGAATGCTACTGAGCAACACACAAGATCGAAAACACAAGATATGTGTTTTCGACCCCCCCTCCCCGAAATGTGAGAAACTATTTTTTTTAACTCAATCTCTTCATTTCAGGGGCTCAAAAGTAATAAATAAAAATAACATTTTCATTTCTAAACCTTTCATGTATGAATTATGACAACCTCAATCAGGATTTTTTTGAAGTATTTTTATTCATCTTTAGGCATGAAAAGATGAATAAAAATACTTAAGAAAAAATGAGGTTGTCATAATTCATGCATGACAGAGTTAAATAACAATAATTACAATGAACCCCCCCCCCCCCAAATAAAATTATGAATTATCTTGCATAAATAGGCTGTTGATTTTCTTTAGTCATTTCAGTTATTACCAGCATAATAGTTGCATGTTTAATCATCTAGGAATTTACCCAGATCTATTTATTTATTTAGACATAGTGGGCCTTTCTGTTCAAAGTTTAGTCTTCAACAAGTGAAATGCATGCTCAATTGGGTTAAGATCAAATAACTGACTGCCCATTTAAGAATATTGACCTTCTTTGCTTTAATAAACTGCTGGGTTGCTTTGGCTGTATATTTAGGTGACTGTCCATCTATGTTATGAAATAAAATGCCACCCAATCAATTTGACTGTATTTAGCTGGATTTGAGCAGACAGTGTGTCTCCTAACACCTCAGAAAACATCAGTCACATCATCAATTAACTAGCTAGCGCGCTCTAATGTCAAGGGTGAGCATTGGTTAATGGTCACCATGTGACTGATGCAAGCACATCCTTTTATTTAGCAAAATTGTGATTAATAGTTAAATGTTATTGTTGAGGGGCACAGGCAGGACTCCACATGCACACACAAATAAATAAAAAAATGTTTCAAGAAAAGGACACTTGGGGGCACTCATCACGCTTCACTGTAAATTATTTGAAAAAGAAAACAATTAGTTGAAGTTACTCCTGGTGCTATGAGGTAGTTCTACAAGCTGTGGAGTCATGAAGTTTTTCATGCACTGCTTTCATATTTATATTCAGTTTTTGTGAAATAAACAGTAGCATGGTGTAATAATATGTTATATAATGTTCTGAACTAATTTTATAGCTTGCAGAAATTCAATTGATTCTTTTTTGTTGTCATATGTAAAACCTAAGAACTGAAGAAGGCTGTGTGTTGGATAAACACACTCTTTTTTAACTGCAATTAATGATTATATGTTATATAGTTATTATGGTTATTTGTATCATTCTATGAAAAGGAAAATGCATTCATCTGCTTATTCTCCCTCTTACCTTCCCGTTGTATTCGGGTCAAATCTGACCAATTTACAAATGAAACACTCATAAATGGGGGGGGGGGTTTACATCCGATTGCCTCGAGGCCTTATGACATCCTCCACACTATGCACTTGAACATCTAAAAGCGATGAGCACCTCTTTCATTGAATTTTGAGTGTTTTAATCAACTTTGTTACATCTGTGGCGTTCCGCCATAGGAAATGAATGGGAATCCACAGAGGCAAAGTCACCCTGAGCGATGTAGGGAAAATAAAATAAAGGTATCTTTAAAAATTCTCCTTCCTTTTCTCTGCTCGTGTTTATATATAGTTTATATATAACTAATTCAAACTGAATACATTGATTAAAATGAAAACTTACATACAAACTCTATAAAAGTTTGTATTATCATGTACTAATAACATTTTATTGCATTTGTATAACACAAGGTTAAGTTTGCTTTGCACAAATATTTAAGTCCAGAATGGATTTGCGACCTTTGCAGACAACTATGCTGAATCTATTTCAACTTCAGCTACACAGCAGACTTAATCCTACATCATGGCTCCTCAGCAAGGCCTCTGACATCAGTCCTGCTTGTGACAGAATGCTCTTTACAATTAGTCCCTTTGGCTCTCTTCTCACTGGCCCTTTGCTCTGACCAAACATCTGGCTTCATCAGGCCTTAGTAAATCTGTCAATGTCCTAAAAGCTGCACCTCAATGATGAGCTTACCCATGTTAACATTTGCAGCAAGCAGTTGCTCCAAGTTTAACCACTGGGGAAAATTATAAATTGCAATAGAGAACATTAAAGTGCATGATGATGTAACTGTATTCAAAATATTTTCAACCCAAACACTGGTGAAAGAGTCAACAACCTGTAAGAATGGAACTTAACAAGTTTCAGAACTTCAGAGACTCTAAAGCGTTGTCCTATTGATAAAACGGCTTATTGTGCTGTGTATCAAACTATATATAGCATACATAACATACAGTTTGATACTCAACATCTAAGCCATTTCCAAAATCCCAGAGTCTCCGAGGCTTCACTAGATATTCTTTAATTATTAAACCTAAAAATGTCAATAATTTAAAGCTCTGGGAGTAAAGCAGTGTTATTCATCACTCCAGTGACTCATGGTAAGAACAAAATAATGAGTTAGTAGCTAATGGTCATGCTAGCTAGTTAGTTCTGTTAGCAATGTACATCCATAATTCACAGAGATTTCTAATCACATGCTACTGTTGACTAGTTTCAAAACAAAATGTACCTACCCAGAGAAGCTAAACAGGATGAAACATGTCATTCACATCAATCACAACCTTAATCATGCCGTAATTAAGTCTCAATACAAACAATACACAAATTGGGTGAGTTATAGAAAAATGTGCACTATGAACAGTTGTCAGGAATGTGAAAATTAGCCACAAAAAAGCTGTAGTCATGGGGGAAATAATCAAAAATAATAATAATAATAATAATAATTGGGTGTTGGGTTTTTTTGTTTTGTTTTTTTGTCAAGTTGAGCATCGTTAAGATAAACTGTTAACAGACCAGTTAAGAAATACCAACTGCGTTGGTATTTCATGTTGGACCATTTAATGACACATTGCATAAAAATGAAACAATATCACAAAAAGACGACAACCACAAGATATTGAATTCTTTATATTTATGCTTTAAAGAATATACTATATTTAGAACAATAGCTTAATATTGTGAGAAATACACTTGTATTTTTATACTCAGAGTTTGATGAGAATATTGATATTACACACATTTCTATGCTGAATATAAAAGTAACAAGACAGTTAGGTAAGCCTATAGACTAGAAGCAGGAAGAAGCGGCTGGCATTATAAAACATTGTACATTTTAAGTTTTTTTGCTATACAGTATCAAAAGATAGATTTTCAGTCGTTTTGCACTGTTCCTCCATCAAATGGAAGTTTCCTTCACCCATTTCAGTAAATGTATGTTGAATTTAAAGATTTTAATATTGCTTTTCATTTGATATTTATTTGAGAGAAATGAAGGTGAATTTGGACATGAGCCACTTTTTGAGACTGATTTTTAAAAGTAGTTTCTAAAGCCACATTCGGCTCACCCATCCACATCTGGCTCTAGGTAGTCCTCATCTCTCTCCACCAATCCTGGGGCAGCTGAGTTTAAGTCATGTGATGTTTCAAGGCTTTCATGGACCTCCGCTGTAGTCTGTGTGGTTCCAGGGATTGTATCGATGTCGTCATAATTCTCCTGTGGATCTTCCACTTCGTAGGTCACCCCGTCTGTCACAAAGAAAAATAGATCACATGTGTTAAACAGAGATTAGACTCACTGATTTTCCAAATTGCCATTTACTGTTATTGAAATGTGAAAACACTGTGATCGAACTAGTTTAGAACCCCAGTGCTTTCATTATGGACACCTTCATGCGTGTTGATGTTGATGACAGTAGTGCCTGGAAAGGTCAGGGGTCGAGCCTCATCTGCTTCAACATCCTCATAAGAGGAAACATTCTGCCCATCCTTCTCTGAGATTAATTCAGCCTCTGATCTGGCTCCTGAATGAAAAATAGCAAGAGAACACTTACATCATGTTGGCTTTTTAAAAAGAACTCCCACTTGGAAACAATCTGAGATAAATCTAAGACAAGCAAATTGTTTTATAAAAACAATTATTTAATTAATTAATTTTTGCAGCTTCTCATGCTGAAAAATAGGTCCCCAAGGATGTTTATACTGCACAAAATGAATTAAGTACTGCAAAAGATAAACCATTAAATCATAGAGAAGTTCCTGTCTTTATGATTTACTATTTCATTTTTTACAGTCGGTCTAAATTGAAAAAAAAAAAAACCCCATCACGGTATTTCCTGTGAATTAATAGAAACTTTCTATTTTTCTGTAATATTACACATTTGATGATTGCAATTCAAATTGGACATTTACTACGGCAGCATTTCTTTTTTTATCATGCAGAAAACTAAGAAATACTATTTAAATTGCCCTTATTATTATTTTAAATGTGTAGTTACATTTCTTAAGGCTGATAGAAAGCGGGATTTTACTGGTTCCTGTAAGTGGCCTACCATGTAATTTAAGATTGACAGCCATAGACTTTCACTAAAAACTGCTGCTCTTTGTATCCAGAGGCTTAACTGTTATTACCAATGATCTCTGCCATGAAAGTCAGTTTGAAAGATAATTTTTCATTTCATATATGTTTTATATCTCTGTTCAAGTCCACGGTGAAATTGAAATTGTGCGCCTTCAAGTAGTCAGCAGGAGGGAGCAGTAGGGCTGCACAAAGAGACGACATCAGATGGGGTAAAATCCAGATTTAACTGAGGTAAGGTTTTGTTCTTGACACAGTATGATTAAGCAGAAATAACTTGCAAAAGCAGAAAAAATGGAATATTGATATGCAGTGATAAGAAATATTTGTTTAAAATATAACCATGGACAGAAATATAAGAAGTAGCAAGACCTACAACAAACAAACATGGTGTACAGTATTTAAAGGGCACTGTGATCAGAAGCAATAAAGTATTTAGAAAACATGAATGAATGAATGAAAAAAATAATCAATCAATCAATAAACAAATTAATAAATGAATGACTCACTGCCATGACTTAAGTCTTCCATCTCATTTTCTTTGTTCGTGACATCTTCATATTCCCCACTTTCAAACTCCATTTCTTTGTCTTGCAGCATTCTTGCTGAAAGGTTACAGTGTTACACATTTACTCATAGAGTACATAACAACCGTGCACTGTGTTAATGTACCAGTGATGTACCAATGTACCAGGGTACAGAAAAAGACTGGTGCGCTAATCTGGAATCAGCCATAAAAGCACTGTCAGCAGGCAATTTATTCATTTTTGATACAGGCACTTTGAATGTAAGCAACAGTGTTATTGTTCAGATAAGATTACTTTTTGTTATGAAAAAACAGGGTTACATTTTCCTTTCAGGTTGTTGTTTTCAAATCTTTAAACTAGGCCCTCCCCTACTTTCCATGTGTGCTCACACAACTTGCAGAACAGAATTTAGTATGGACGAAGTGGCAAAAAGGTGGAGCTGAAAAGCTGAGAAAAGGAAAAGAAAAGTAAAAATAAATGCAGCAAAATATATCATATTAGGCCACTTGTTATCGGGGCTGCTGCTGTTCCAGCAACAACTGCTGTAGTAACAAACCCTCACAGTAACAGGAGGCTGCCGTGGAGAAGTGCAGGGGGAGGGACAGCAGTCCCAACAAAAGTAAAATGAATGGCCACTTTGTCCATGAGCCACTGTCAACAGATAAAGTTTAGCTATTAATTGTCACATACTGTAGTGCAGTTCAACTAAAAACTAACCCAAAAACAACTTTAGCAAGGAGATTAAAAAGAAAAACTAAGGGCTGATTTTTTGTAACAGTCCAGTCCTGAGTATGCGAGCAGGAAATACAAGACACAAGCACAAGTTTGGGTAGTTTTCACAATGTTTCCCTAAGTTTTTAAAGTGAGCAATGTTTGAATGAGATGATGCGTTCCTTGTTTTGTCAGCAGTAGTGATGGCACTATTTGAATTCAGAATTCAGTAAGTATGTTGGAGACTGCCCTCTTGTGGCAAAAAAAACTCTCAAACACCTTTTTCTGGATCATGTTCTCATGTTCAGGCAGGTTTTTTACACTTTTTAAAGTAATTCATTAAAAGTGAAACAAGCCATGTGTTTAAGTCATGTAATAAAGATACTCACGTGAAACGTTGGACTTCCTGGCTCTCTTGAGATAGAATCGTACAAATACCAAAATTAAGATCACAACAATAAGAAGAAATCCCACACCCACGATAATAGGTGCTATTGGTGTAGAAGGAGGTGGTGGAGGTGTAGGGGGTGGCTCGTAGCCTGAAATCAAAAACAACCACTTTATTTATTCTGGATTCAGTCACACTGAGAGCTGGGGCCCGTTCTTCGTAC